CTAATAGAGGTGGGGAACTTGTGACCTTGAAGCCACAGGTGACCCTCTAGGTCCTTAAGTGTGGCCCTTTGTTTTGTGAAGTTTGACTTCAGTCAAAGGGCCATACTTGAGGACCTACAGGGCCTCATGTGGCCTCAAAGTCACAGGTTTTCCACCCCTGGATAGCAGTTCCTGTAAGAGTGATTATCAAAGTCAATGTTGGAAACTAAAAATAAATAAATTATGTTTTAAAAAAGAGTGATCATCAGGTTCCCTAATAAGAACTCAGGCTTATAATGCACAAATTTTAGAGTGTTTTACTTACATATGTGCTCTCCTGGTCAATTAACAGTCCTGATTCCCACTCCTAGCCAAGTTTGGGTGAATTGGTCCTATGTGCTCTCTTTTGCCCAACATCTGAACAATATACCTCCACTTGGAGAATACTTCCCACTGAGTTGTTGCTGGGTTGTTGTTGGGTTTTTTTTTTTAATTTAGAAAGAGACTCAGGCTTTCTTCTCCTTTTCCTTTCCATTTTCCCATTTGTCTTGTAACAGCTGAGTTAATTCATAAGGATTTTTTTCTGAACAGATATCTGTAATACACACGGGAGTATGTGGAAAACTCTGCCAAAATGGCTACATATGCATTCTGTCTTCACAATACCTGTGAAAGAGGGCATACACGTTTTACCATCCCCTTTTATATTGGAGGAATCTGAGGAGAAAGAGATGTACCTTGCCAAAAGTTATACGATGAGTTAGTGACAATAGCTGACATTAGAATCCAGGTCTATTGACTTGAAGTTCAGGGCTCTTTCCACTGGGTCATTGTCTGTGTGCCTAAATGGGGCTTTTAGCTTTGCCAAGACAATAATAATAACTCCTATTTTTATAGCATTGTAAAGTTTACAAAGTACTTTTCCTACAACAACTTTGTGAGATAGGTAGAATAAGTATGATTATCCCCATTTGCAAAAAAGGAAACTGAGGCTTGGAGATAAGACCTCCCAAGGTCACAGATCTAGCAATCAGAGCTGGGTTTCAGATTCAGATATCCTAACTCAAAAGCTAGTGCTTTAAAGTATGTAACATAAAGAAAGGCATAAGAAGACTACTGGAAAGGTAGGAGGGGGCTAAACTTAACCCCTACCTTGTAAGGCCCCTTATCCCTTAGCTCCTACCTTTCCAGTCTTCTTCACTTGAATGACAGAAGATTTTGTTTTTGATCCCAGCGGCAATAGGGAGCCAGTGGAGTAGGAGGGTGACATGGACTGACCTGTGCTTCAGGAAAATCACTTTAGTGGCTGAATGGAGGATGGATTGGAGTGGGGAGAAATCTGAGGCAGGTAGACCCACCAGCAGGCGATTGCAATAATTCAGGCATGAGGTGATAAGAGCCTGTGCCAGAGCGGTGGTAGTGTCATAGAATAAAGGAGGGCGTATGTGAGCGATGTTGCAAAGGTGTCACAACAGAGCGGGTATGGGAAGGTGAGAGATAGTGAGGAGTTGAGAATAATACCTGGTTGCAAGCTTGTGTGACTGGGAGAATAGTGTGGTCCTCTTCAGTAATAGGGCAGTTGGGGTCAGGAGGGTTTAGAGGGAAAGATAATGAATTCTGTTTTGGTTGTGTTGAGTTTACTGGGCATCCACTTCAAGCTGTCTGAAAGGCAGTTGGAACGCCAGACTGGGGGTCAGAAGAGAGGCAAAAGCAGGATGAGTAGAACTGAGATGGTAATGAAATCCATGGGAACAGATGAGGTCATGAAGTGAAGTCGTATAAAGGGAGAAGAGAAAAGGGCCCAGTACAGAACCCTGATCTCCTGGGAATTAACTGTTTTTGTGCCTAATCATTCAATATTCACTTTGCAAAACTAACTTAGTGTTTTATTCACAAGAAAAGAAAATCATTAAATTTAGGGCTGGAAAGGAACCTTAGAAATCATTTATTCTAATGCCCCTCATTTTGCAGACAAAGAAGTAGAGACCCAGAGAGGGGAAGCCTCTTACTTCAGCTCATGCAGTATAGTAAGTAGCAGAGTCAGCATTTGAAACCAAGTCTTCTGACTCCAAATTCCTTGCTCTTTCTACTATATCACTTCATAGATGACTCATGGCAAATTCTCTAATCTAGCTGTCCAATTGGGTAGATATAATTTAGATATATCTAGCTTAGTATTATTCCACATAAAACATTTTATAAAACTTTAAATTTAACTACATATGATATATGACCCTGCCCTATTCAGTCATAGGATGGGAGATATTTTTATATTATTTTCTTTAGGTTTAAGGGGTGGGACATAAGCCAGGCAGTTGTAAACCTAGTTTTGAGTAACTCACTCACCTCCCCATCCCCATCCCCAGCCATTACTCAGCAATCTATGAACTGGGAACTGGTTGGAGCAAGTCTCTAGGCCAAGGACAGGTATCAATTGTTCATTGATCATAGGGTGTGGGTATTATCTAAGCTTTACCAATGAAATGGGCTCTAGGGAAGAGGGAGCTGTGCAGTCTAAGGAGGGTAGCAGAGTTAGAACAGGAAAAATAAATCTTAGGCATAGTATCTAAAACAGGGAAGATGAAATCCCACCATCCTCTCCCTGCTCAGACCACATCTGGACTGCTCTGTTTAATTCTAGACTTAGCTTGCTATTTTAGGAAGAATAGTGACAAACTGGAAGATGTACAGAGGAGAGTTACCCAGATGGTGGGAAAAATGAAGGGAGACTCCAAATGAGGATCAGTCAAAGGAATCAAGTGTATTAGTGCTGAAGAAAATGTGATTTGGGGAACCATGATAGCTATTTTCATCTATTTAAAGGGCTTTCATATGAAAACTCTTGTCCTACTTGGCTTGAGTGAGTAGAACTAGTACAAATGGGTGAAAGGTATAGAGAAACAGATTTTGGCTTGCTAAAAGGACAAAACTCCTATCAGAACTGTCCCAAAAGGGGAATGGACTGACTTTGAGATTAGTGTATTCTTCATCATTGGAATATTCCAATGAAAGCTGCATGACCTCTTGTTTTGGATGTTATAGAAATAATTTCTGCTAAGGTTTGAATTGGATGCTCTGAACTCTAAGGTCTCCTACAACTTCAAAATTGTGTGGTTCTGTGTGTTTAGGAGAAGATTCCATACAGGGAGTGTTGATAGCATCATGAGATTGTCAGGCTTATGGAAGGGATTCGTGGAGGTCAAAGTTTGTGTTCCCTGAGACCCATGGTTGCCAGAAAAAGGGAGTCCTAGAAACCAGTATAGGGATATATAGATTGGGTTGACAGCCTAACCAGTAAAGGCAAATTTGTGAGTTTGTGAATGTGCCCCAGGTGAACCACCCAGGGCAGATAATTGGTAAGGGGGCAGAAGGAGAACCCAGAGGGTCTAGCATTAAGATCTATAGAAGGACAAGACATGGGACTATACATTTATTTCAGATGAAAGCTCTGGAGAAGAAATCTTTAGAGGTCACATAAGTAGGGTCTTTCCTATCTAGGAAGTCAAGGTGAAAGAATAGGATGTTAAGGCCTATGGCTGGAGGACATAAGTTGATGGACACTTCCTTTCTGGCTAGATATCTTACCTAGGAGAAGGTATCATATGGTGAGAAGGAAGAATTTAGAAAAGGTTTTCCTTTTTCCTGCCTCTACACTGGGTTTCTACATCCACAGCTAAGGATTTTAGGACCATAATCTAGAACCACTGAGATACACTTTACCAAGCCAAATCCATTGGCTAGAAGTATAATCATCATCATCATCATCATCATCATACCTCAAATTGCTGTAGTACCTTAAGATTTACAAAGCACTTCCTGCAAAATACCTCTATGGGGCAGTTAGCGCAAGGATTATTATCAACATTTTACCGGTGAGCAAATTGAGATTCAAAAATGGTGAAATGACTTGATCAAGGTAACACAAATATTAAATTTTAGGGTTGGAACTTGAACCCTGGTCTCCTGACTCTTAGTTCAGGGTTCCTTACATTTTACCAGGTGGGCTGCATCCCCTAAAATTGATCCAACTTTTAGCCCAGGCAATATTGGGTCACCTGGCTCCAAGGTTAAGAGCTAAGATCTAAAATAAGGGGCAGAGGGAACTAAGAAAGAATAAGGCCTAGTTTCAAGAGCATTATGTTGGAAGATCAAGATTACCTGATAAGACCTCTATAACTTATAAACTTTCCTCTTTGGTGATTATTGTAAATTATCACCAGTCCTCATATTTCCTTGTAGTGTTTAACAGTAAAATTCTTTAAAAGAATGATTAAATGCATTTTTCAAAAAGAAGAAAAAAAAAGAAACCCCTGTGTCCTGTCCCTCAGACTTATTTTGATGGTACCAAAATTCTGCCCCAGATACAGCTATCTCCCCTGGGGCACAACTCTTTCCCGTTACCATCCTGCGTCAACTTCCCGGATAATCCCTATCCAGGCCTTTTTCCCTAGAGAATCAAGTTTGCCTGATCTGGAGTCCAGGGGGAGAGAGGCAGCTACCTGAGGGAAATGACTAGTGGTCTTTGATACAGAGCTGTGAGACACAGGCTACCTTTCACTCCTTGCTGCCTAACCTCCTGGTCATAGAAGACCCATCCCCATCTCTGGCTATAGATGCTGTATCAGAAGTGAATGTAATGTGATTAAGGACGAATTTAGGGGTGGGGAATGTGGTGGCAACAATGAAATAATGAAGTTCTGGTAGAACAGAATAATGGGATAACCCATTTTTTCCTTTATAAAGGAGTGAATTTAGAGCCTCCCATTCCCCAAAGCTCTGGAGTCCAACCAGGAATGAAGCACTTCAGAGTGCAGCTGATTAACTATTAGACTTAAAAGACATTTACCTTTGAGAGCATCTAGTCCAAACTCCTCAGGTTAGGGAGGGGGAAACTGAGGCACAGAGAGAGGAAGTGACTTGCCCAAGGTCACAGAGCAAGGTAAACATTCAAGGTAATCATGTGTCTACTATAAAATATGTTTCTGACTTGCTCAATAGCTCATTCTACTTTTTGATTTCAGCTTTCCAGATATCTTTATGGACAAAAAATCCAGATTCCCATCCATTTTTGGCAGAATGTCTCCATTGAAGCTTCAGTTTTCAAAGTTTTCCATAGTCAGGTATTCTCCAGTTGAGCAGCTTCCATTATATTTAGTGGCACTTAGCTGTAGTTGGAATAGCTTGAGTTCTTTTATAAGTGGATACAGTCCATAAGTACCATATTATTTCAGTCAGAATGATGGGACCTATAGTACATAGACAGACGTAAATCTGTAACTGGAATGTTATTTTAAGTAGGAATAATTCTTTTATTTTCTTTGAGATTAGAAGTCTTGAGTTGGGCTGCTTGTAGTCATTTGGCATAGATTTATTAAGTACTTAATATGTGCAAGTTATAGGTGCTACATGGGAGGCAAGATGAATAAGATATGGTTCCTGCTGTCAAAGAGCTTATCATCTATCAACTGTGGCCTTTCCTTTCACAAAAGTGTAGGAGGTCATTGGATTTTGACTCAGTATCATTTTTGATCACCACTCAACAGCCTTACCAAACTCATCCAACAATAGTGAAAAACCTGAGATAATTAGAGAGCAGTCTATGATTTACTACCTGTGTGACCTTGGACAAGTCCCTTAGGTCATCTGGGCCTTTGTTTCCTGTAAAATGAGGGGGTCACACAAGCTGAACCCTAAAGGCTCTTCCAGCTCTAAATCCTATGATACTATGTATTGTATTGAAGATAATAAGGTGAATATAATAGGGTCCTTGCCATTTTGGTTCTGAGTTCTGTAGAGAAATAAGATATAGATCTTTATCTATAGTTATATATCCATATCTATAGATATAGATTTAAATGAGTGTATATATATATATATATATATGTAAAACCAACACAAAACAATCTATAAGTGCATGTGAAAGTTATAGACAAAGAACAAAAAAAATTATATATGAACCTATGAACTGCTAGTAGTGTTTTCCAAAAGCATTGCATTAAATTTAACAAGGCAGTAACAAAATCGTGATTTGTGTCCTGTTCTGAAATGCTTTTTGTTTTCTTCTGAGTATTTTTAAATATTTTATTCTTTTTTCTAGAAACCCATCAGTTTAACAAATAAGTCAAGCAAAACTCATCAACACATTGGCCATGTGTGAAAATGTTAACAGGCTTCTATGGTGTTCTCCAACAAAACTAGACTTCCTAACATAGACTTGTGTACTCATTACAAATATTCAAAGAATTCTACACACTCAGAATCTGTTGAGCTTAGCAGTAATGTCACATTTATTCCCAGTTCTATCCTTGTAAAAAGAGGTGATTATTTATCAAAATAAACACTACTTAGGGAGATTTTAGCTCTGAACAAATTTAGCCATCTGCCAAATAACCTCAGTAAAATTAACTCTAATAAAAACTCTTAGCAATTCAATTCAATAAACATTTATTAAGCACCTATTCTGTTCAAGTGCTGTGTTAAGTTCTGGGGACACAAAGATAAAAAACAACCCACCCCTTACACAAGAAGAGCTTATAATCTACATTTATCTGGCCCTGGTCTCATCTTCAAATTTGTATGGAATATTTCTTTCTAATTCACACAAAATCTTTACAGTGGAGTTAGACTCTTGAGTCCATAGTCAGTTAGAGAAGCTCTAGGACTTTATGTCCACTTAGTGGCAAAAATTCCTCCAGCAGTTAGTCCCAAACTTCTAGTTCACTGTATTTCTCTGGCTTAGAAACAATTATTGATTCTCATGCTTGAGCTTTTGGAATTGATTCAAGATGGCTCCATATAAGCCAAAATAGTCATTATTCCCTCTGACTTTCCTTGATCCCTACCCAAGTGACTGAAGGATAAATTTAACTAGCCATGAACAGTATCTCCATGCTGCAGTAAAATTCTCCATGACTAGTTTTTTTAAAAACTTAGCCTTTTCTCAATTAGACTACCTCTACTTCTTTACGTATTATCTCCTTGTGAAAGATCTCACTCTCCATCCTCCGTAGTCAGGTATTTGTCTCATTTCCATGTAGTTGGTTCCCTAACACTACATCTGCCCTCCACTACTACAACAAGCCCTCCTTTACGGCTTAGGTTTTTTTGTTTTGTTTCGTTTTAATCATACCAGAAATGTTTTCAGAGGAGCTTATTTTACCAGGCATTTGTCTGCTTGTTTAGAATCTTGAAGCTTTGTTTTCTACTAGAGAAGCAAATAGATACCAGTAAGACCACTAAAAAAAATTTAAACAGCAAAGATTTTAAACAGAGATTTTAAAGTGATCTATAATAAATTTAATAAATTTTTCCCATGACCTTTTATTTCATTTTTTCATGGAAATATATATTTTGAATTATCTTCTGTGAGAATACAAACTCAATTTACCCTTTTATACGAGTAGTTTTGGATCAGAATTAAGCAATGGAAGAAAAAATACATTTAAAAGAATTAACTAACAAAATTATAATCTTTCAGAATAGCAAATAACATACATGAATACACACAATAATTGATATACATTAATCTTTAATAAATTGTAATATTATAAAATATGCACACAAAGAAAAGGGAGGCTATAGACTCCTTCTTTGGTTCTTGCAGTTTGGGGCACATTGCTAGTGGCCTAACACCTCTTCATTCTGCATCTTCTGCAAAGGCTCTAGTAAGCCCTGAGGGACCCTAAGACCTCAGAGAAAGAACACAAAAAAAGAAAAGAGGGGTCCCTTAACCTGAGGTCCCAAAGTGCTCTAAGAAGAAGCCCACTTCTACTCAGTTTCTCATCTATAAAATGGAGTTCCACTAGGTAATCACCTTTGTTCCTTCTACCTCTGAGTAAAGAGGTCTTAAAAGACTTATATAACCAGAAAAGGAGATGGGGTAAGTCTGTGGTGCATGTAAGGGATCACAATGAATAGATGGTGCTTCTGAGTGTTTCAAGACATTCTATAAAATATTTAAAAAAAAAAACCAAAACAGAAGACTTTTCATCACCTTAAAGTAGTTTTCTTCTATGGAGGATTTGCATGAAAATGTGAACAAGAGTTGTGAGTAAAAGGTTGAGAAGGTGTGGATGGTTGTGTATTGTACCAGTGGAAAGTACCTACTTCTGTGAGATCAGAATCACAAAATATTTGAACTGGAAGGGACTTTAATGATCATCTAGTTCAGTCCCTTTGTTTTATAGAGGAAAAAAATTAAGACCCCAAAGTGATTTTACCCAAGGTGACAGAGCAAGTAAGTTGGCAGAGCTATGACTTAAACTCATTTCTTCTGACTCCTTTATCAATGCCCTTTCCATTATATGGTGATTCTTCACTCACCCATAATTTCATTCTTTCTAGCACCACATTCTAACCGACTGAATCTAGTTGACTAGTCTTAAAATATTTTGGCTCTAATGTGTTACATAGAAGATAAGAACATGGTGACGTTTTTAAAAATGTCTCAAGTTTTTTCTGTCAAGTTTTTTGCCTGGTATCTCTTAAAAGACTGAGTCTCCAAATTGGCTTTCATACCACTCAAGTAGTCATATGAAATGTTGTTCAAATGAGATAATGTATGTAAAACACTTTGCAAACATTGAAGACACTTTAAAAATGTTTTTTTATATGTATGTATGTATGTATGTATGTGTATATATATACATATATATGTATATGACAGTCATTGCCATTATCATTTATGCTGTAGACATAGAAGACATGAAATATAGTCCTGAATTTTCTGCTCTAATATTTTGTGTTTGAAAGTCCCTTCCAGTTCTAAATGAAGATTCTGTGTTCTAGTGTTGTGGTGGAAAGAGCATTGCTCTGGGAATCAGGAAGCCTAGGAACTAAATTATTATGGGATCTTAGACACAGCACTTCCCTTTAGTCTGCAAAATGTAAGAGGTGAACTGTTTGACCTCCAACTGTCACAGATGGTGGATTTAACAGGAGGGGTGTCACCTAAACGAAAAATTAGAAACTGTTAAAATAACAAATCCTAGATGGTATTCCCAACACCAGATTCACATTAAATAAATGAGGGCAGTAAAGAATGGGTGATAAATTTTCATTTATAGAGGTGGCATCTATTTAGTCCTCAGTTTTCTCACTGAGAAAATGATGATAATGTCTTTGTCCTGCCTACCTCACAGGAATGTTGTGAGGATAAAATGAGTTGATGTATGTAAAGTGCTTTTGCAGCAATAAAGCATTACACAAATGTAAACTACCATTATTATTCTGTCCTTGTAACATAACACATTATAAGTTGGTCATTGTATTCATCGTTAATTGAGGAATTCATCTGCTTCACTATAGCATAATTGCATTATATTTATCCTGGGAGTCAGAGATTTTGCTGTTAGTTCAGTGGCCTGGCTAAAAGCAGTGTCATGAAACACATCCTGTTTCCCATCATGAGCCAGTCTTAGGAGGAAACAGAACTTGTGGGGTGGTATGTACGGCATAGTGTCATGGAAACAGCTCTAGGTCTTGGGTGGTCCCAGGGTCAACTCTAACGTTTAATAGAGGTGTGGTTCTCAGCAAGGCACTTCCCCTCTCTGAATCTATTAGCTCCTCAGTACAATAGGCAGAGCAATACTTTCATTATCTACCTCAAAGGATAAATGTGAGGAAAACACTTTTAAAATCTTAAAATGCAAACAAATGTGTGCTGTTATAGTACAATACAGTGGAAAATGCAGCTGAGCTGAAGGCAGAAGACCCAAGTTCTTGGGCTGATTCCACCAATACACTGGTACGAGAAAGTTATTTCACCAGAGGGGAAGGACGAAGCCTCCACTTATTTTGGCAGATAGGCAGTCTTGGCTGAATCTGAGTTTCTGTGTTAACCACAAACAAGCTCAACTACATTGTCAGTACTTGCTTTGTGATGTTGGACTGATTTTTCACCCTTCTGTGTCTCAGTTTCTTCACCTATAAAATGGAGGGGCCTTTTTAGTCTTAGAATAATACTAAGCTATTTTGCTTGTCAAGTTCTTTGCCAGCCTTACAATTCAATATAAAAATGAGTTGTTATCACCCTTATAGAGGCTTCCATTTGTTTCCAGGTGTTCCTTCACTTCTGAGGGTGGTGTACATAGCACTAAAGTAAATGTAGAATAATATTAAT